GTTACGGAAACTTAGGAAATGTCTATCAATCACTAGAAGAATATCACAAAGCCATTGAATATCTTGGAAAGCAGTTAAGAATTGCTAAAGAGATTAGGGACAGAAAGGGAGAAGCGGTTAGTCATACCTCTTTCGGTAAGCATTTTATGATTATTATTATACCTGTATTATTGAAAGTAAGTAACAGGGAGTTTATCACTCGATAGTTGCCTGGAAAACGTGATGCTCTGAAGAAAAAATGCACAACTATCCCAGCAAATTGTTCAGGATTACAACTGCTCTATTGGTTTTATTATTCAACAACAAAATTTTCTGAAGCGGAGGGCTCTATGTACGGGGCGGGTACTATCGCGTCACGTGGTCGACCAACCTCGTTCCCAGGGCCTTATCCCAAGCGAAGGGATAAGGCCCTGGGAACGAGGTTGGTGGTCGACTCTACATCAATCACATTTCAAGCAACAGAGAAATTCGATCTTTAAACAAACACACTTCTGAATAATAATAGACAATTTATACTGATTCACTGAAAACAACACTTTGACAGCAGATACTTAGAAGTTAGTTAAATCAATAGGAAAAAATATTGCTATATTTTTAAAGTTGCCTGAGAGTCAATAAAAAATGGAAAAAAGCTCAAAATAAACGCTTATGGTGCTCTGGATGTGAGTAACATTTTGATGGCTGATATAAAACGACACAAGAAAACCAAAGGAACCCATCAAAAAAAGGTTGAATTTGTATTTTTCTACGGCTTAGGGTCGGGAACGGAACTTACTACAAATGAACCAATGAGTTTAACAAAAGCTGCGACCCTAAGATCGCAGGAAAAAAAACCCGCAAAGCTCAATACTAAGAAGCCGCGATGCAACGATTTTCGCTGTATTATGTTTCCCTTAGGTAAATAGAACAATTAAAAAGTCACATTTTCGCTCCGAGCAGCCTTTGTGTGGACACTAGGGCATAAACTGCATCAGTATAGTACTTGGGAAATATCTTTTATGTTTTTAACACCCACAGAATAACAAGAAAGCAATAAGATTTTAAGCTTATCAAAAACTTCAACACAATCACAAACTCAATTCAAATACCCAATCAAGCATATACTTACACCGATTAGAAACATGGCGMAACAATTTAAGCATATACACTAACAATTGTTCTGAAATGAGTGGGTACTCACCAGTGGGGAATTTGTTTTATGGCTATAGTCAGTATTGAGTATACTACACTTTACAGTTCCCAGTGTCATGTTAAATGCATAGCTAGCCAAGCCTTTGCATCAAAGCGAGACATGAGTTGACTGAGTTGTGCCTGCAAAAACAGTCATTCATAGTTTTCTATCATTGTAATCTGAATTGCTCAATCGCTTTGCTGCTAAGGCTCGGTAACCTTTCAGGATGGATTGGATTGTATATAAAAATTGGTCCACAATTTTTCGAATCAGCCTAGTTAATCTTCTTGATTTTTTCTGGGGATCATTGTGTTAGCGTGTATCAGTCATACCTTACTTTGCATATGCATAATTATATTCTTTTTGAAGGTGATTGCTACAAAGCTGATTCCAGCCTTAAAGACCTCAATAAAGCTGAAGAACACCTTCAAAAGAGTATTGAATGCTTTGAGAACCTGTTTGATGACTCAAAAGACAAAGACCAATTCAAGATATCTTTTGTTGACACTTATGTTGGCACCTACAAGATACTTGTCGACGTACTTCTGGAGAAGAATCAGCCCGAAAAAGCTCTGCTGATTTGTGAACGGGGACGAGCCCGTGCATTGAGNGTGGGAATGTCTCGAGCATTCCTGGCTGCAGGAGCCCGTGCTGTTGTAGCGTCGTTGTGGGCCATTGATGATCAAGCTACTAGGTTCTTTATGGTGAAATTCTATTCACATCTCAAGAAAGGAGAGAGTGCCAGTAGGAGTCTACAGCAAGCAATGAAGGAAATGAGAGAAACAGAGATGTACAAGGAACCAAAGTACTGGGCTGCCTTCTTCCTTATTGGAGATGACGTCACCATTTCTGTGTAAGGATCCGTTATAGTTGCACTATAGGGTGATCTTGTTTAAATTTGTAATTAGCTTAAAGTTTGGATATGGTAACAAGCAAACTAAGTTCATTTCTTAAAAGGGCTTATTTAGAACTATTATCGTGGAAATTTGATCTCTTTAATTTAGCAAAAATGATCCACAATGTAAACAAAAGATCCATGTATTTCGTCATTCTGACGGACATTTCTGATGCAAGAAGTAATGTTTAAAGGCCGACAATGAGGACTTGACGGGGTTTCAAAGTCCGCGCAATTAGTTCCAGTCCGAGGCGCTAGCCGAGGACTGGAACTAATTGCAAGGACTTTGAAATCCCGTCAAGTCCGAATTGGAGGCCTTTGAACGACTTCAAAAACTCATTAATTATTCGGGAGGGGAAAAAAGCGAAGGAAATACATATAACAGAAATATATTGATTTATTGCATCTCCACTAAGGTTTTCAGTTTTCATAATTTTGAATACATGAAGCACCGTTTGTTGTTCTTCAATTCCCGGACGGCTTTCTGAAACAAAAGCTATTCAAATTGTCTTTGTCTGCTATTCATGGCATTCCTAATGAGCCTAATCCATAAGATTTATAAGTATGTTATCTTCCGAGGAATCGCATCAGAAACTCGGTGGTGTAATGGTATAAGACGGCGCATATAGACTGGACGGTAGGGGATCGAGTCGTGAGGGAGTCATGTATCAAAGACCTTTTTTCACTAAATTAATGTTAAACTGATTATTTCTAATAATTTGATTATCATTAGCTAGTAGTAGTTGGAAACATGGTAGAAGTAACTGGAAATAAGGTAGAAATAGCTGGAAATAATGTAGAAGTAACTTGAAAAAGGTAGAAGTAACTGGAAATAAGGTAGAATACAAGGTACGAGTACTTCCTCTGGTTTCAAGTTACTTCACGTGGTACAAATTACAATCAGGGATTGGCTGAATACCTCATGAATAATTAATGAGTTTTTGAA